GGGGGGGGGGGGGGGGGAGGGGGGTCAAGGAGCCATGCGGAAGGGTAGATCTGCCACCATGATTCGCGGTCCGAGCCGTGTTGGCCGGAGGTCCACAACCTCCTCTCTTCCCCTGCCTCACTGGCCCTGCCCAATCTCAATTGCATCTTGCCAGTTTCCCAAAGCCACACCCTCCTCTGCTCCACCACATATCCATACGATTACATACCATGTCCCTCTCTTCTGCAATCGGCTTCATCGGCGGTGGGCAAATGGCCACCGCCATCTACCGCGGCCTTGTCCGGAAAGGCATCCGGTACTCACTCTCCCTCCTGCCTTTTTTTCCCCCCTTGCCATCCTGCCCCTTCGACCTCCCGGTCTTTCCCCATTCCTCCTCTCTGTCCTCCCCCCTCCCCCTCCCTATCTCTCTCTGATGTGCACACCTATCATCTACTCACCCGCCCCGCTCCGCCCCGTACCGCACACAGGAAGGCCGCCGATCTTTACGTGTACGATGTGAATGCCTCGGCCCGCCAGGCGGCCAGCACGCTCGGCATCAATGCCCCGAGCTCTGCGGCCATTGTCGCCGAGTCTACCCGCGTCATTCTGATCTGTGTCAAGCCGGATGCCGTGCCGACTGTACGCCACCCGGCGATTTCCCTCCCCCGCCTCCTGCTCATGCCGCCTTCCGATTGCCCATGCACCGTCCTATTTGCCACACCACCACTTACCTATCCATACATATCTCTCCCTCTCCCCCTCCCCCTCTCTCAACCTTCGCTCGGACCATGGACCAAAACAACAGGTCTTGCGTGACCTCCGCCCGAACATCGGCTCCGGGCACTTGCTCATCTCTGTGGCGGCCGGTGTGACCACCCGGGCCCTGGAAGCGGCTGCTGGCTCCGGGCTCGGTGTCTTCCCGTCGGGTGGTGCCGAGGCCGAGCCCGACTTCAAGCACACTGTTTCTCACCCCGGTCCGCCGCGCATTGTGCGCGTCATGCCGAACACCCCGTCCCTGGTGGGCGAGGGGGCGACTGGCATTTCAGCCGGGACCAACGCCACCGGCGAGGACGTCGAACTCACGCGCGAGTACGCCCTACATACACACACACACACACACACGCGCGCGCACATCGGCCTTGATTTTTATCTCCCCCGCCATCTTCTTTTCTTCCTTTGCACAACGGATAGCATGCATATGTGTTTTTGCATGTGTGCATCCCTGTAGAAATACGCTAACGTCTATCCTCCTTCCTCCCTCCCTCCCTCCCTCCCTCTCTCTCTCTCTCTCAGGCTTTTCTCGGCTGTTGGACAGGCCCACGTGGTGGACGAGAAGATGCTCGATGCGGTGACCGGCTTGGCCGGCTCGGGCCCGGCCTACGCCCTGCTCTTCATTGAGGCGCTTGCGGATGGCGGCGTCTTCGCTGGGCTTCCGCGCCCTGCGGCCCGGGCACTGGCTGCGCAGACGGTCCTCGGCACGGCGCGCATGGTTCTCACGGCGGACGGTGGCGGGTGCTCGGCCTGCGGCGGTGTGCCGGCCCCGGCTGGCGCAGCTCCGGTTTGCAGCTGCCCCCCGCCCCCGCACACGGCCGAGCTTCGGGACCGTGTTTCCAGCCCGGCCGGCACCACGGTGGCTGGGCTCAAGGTCCTGGAGGACCGCGGTGTGCGCGGAGCCGTTATCAGCGCCGTGGCCGCGGCCACCGATCGTGCCCGCGAGCTCGGGGAGATTGCCCAGCGCGAGACCTCCGGCAGCCAGTAATCATCCGGCGAATAGACACGTGATGCGATCACACGCCGGATTTGTGTCGGAAATTGGGCCAGGCGCCAGGGCCGAAGGGGACCTGCGGGGGGGGGGGCCTTCTTGGACGCCGTGGGGCGCGGAGCGGGGCCGTGGAGAGAAGGGCCTCCTGCATCTTGGGAGGCGAGTTTGGGGGGGGCGACAGTCGGAGCGCGCCGAGGTGGGTGTCTGTGCAGTTTGGTGGGCTGCTGTCTCCGTCGGGGAGATGTGTGTCGCGGTGTAGGCGTGGGCGCCCGAGAAATGGGCAGCTGCCGGGAGAGAAGGGTGCATGTGTGCGTGCGTGCGTGCGTGTATTCGGCCGTGCATCACAGTCGGCCGAGGATTCGGGACGAAAGGGCGGCGATTTAGTCTCTAGGCTGGTTGTGAAGGTTGTGCGTGGAGCTCGTGGCGGACTGCCGCGAGGCGCGGAGACGGCAAGCCCGCACGTCCGGCACTTGCCGTGAGGGGGTGGTGCGCAGGAGCGGGGTGTGTCGCCGAGAGGGCGTGCACCTTCCTCCTGCCCCTCGCCCGTTTGGCATGAGGCGGCCCTGCCTCTGGCGGAGCAGGGGGCGTTTCGCAAGGCTCTCCAGGTGTCACTGCCAGCTGATTGGGCGGGGGGGGGGGGCGGGGGCCGAGCAGACGCCCGGGGCCTGCATGGGGGAGTGTCGGCCCTGGCGCGTGCCGGCCCTGGGCGAAAGAAGCCCGGAGCGAGGGCGAAAAACGACCCCCAATGGGGCTGATAAGTGTGGGCGGGAGCATTTTTCCCCGGGCGAGGAATGGGATACGCTGCCGTGTGGACCTGCACGGGGGGGGGGAGACGAGGGATAGTGGTGCGCACGGGTGTGTGTGTGTGTGTGTCTATGCGCGCGCGCACAGCCCACTTCATGGAGTCCATGCCGGGCCGATCTGAGGACTCCATCAGAACGGCAGCCGGGGATGCCTGGCCAGGAGGGCGGGGGGGGAACGCCAACGAGCGCGGCTCTTGGCCCAGGCGGCCGCCTTGGCCCTCGCATTCCCCCCCCCCCCCGCCCCCCGCCCCCCGCCCCCCGCCCCCGCCCGGGGAAGGTGGGATGAGGCGCGCGGGCCGATTTCCCCCCAGCGGTTCCCCAGACGTAGGGGCGCGGCCTGGCGGGTGGGTCGGGGGAAGGTTGGTTTCTCCGGGGGGGGGGGAGGGGGGGGCCTGGCCCCGAACAGCGAGAAGAGGGGATGGAACGGCGGGGGCACAGGCGCCCCTCGATCCGCCGGGGGCTTGTCCCGCGGGGATTCCAGAACTCGGGGAAATCCCCCGGCACCCGCTGTTATTTCATCTCCTGTTGTGCACTTTTGTGCTCTCTCCATTGCCTTGCGGGCGTTGTGCGTCTCCTCTGTCCGGGGGCTTGGTCCCCGCCTGGCGGAGGCTCCCGCCCTCGCGCACCCCCCCCCGGTAAGCTGTTGACATGGCTGGGGGTCTGGGTCTCTCTGGCTGCGTGCGCAGTTCCGGCGCAGGAGTCGGCCGGTACCAGCCGGGCCAGAGCGATGGGGGCCGGGACGGGGGGGAACGCGCGACCAGCCTTGTGCGTCAATGTGCGTGGGAGTGTGTGTGTGTGTGTTCGTCGCAGGGGCCAGGCAGGCCGTGCCCCCACGCCCCCCCCCCCCCTCGGCCTTTTCTGAGGCGCCTTGCTACCTGGCCTCAGTGGAAGGGGCGGGGCGGTAATCCGGGCTGTGTCGGGCGCCTTCCCGCTGGCGCCCCGCACCCCTCGGGCGGGTCCAGTCCGATGTCGGCGGAACCCTCAGCCTCCGCTGCGCAGCTTGCTTTTCAGTCCCAGGGTTGCCAAGCGTTCGGCAGGCCTCGCCCCGCGGGCCCCCGCCCCCCCCCCCCCATCCCCCTCGGCCTCAGTTGTTGAGGCAAGGCTTCCCCCACGGCCAGGCCGCCCAAAATTTGAGCCGTGGCTAGTTGCTAAATCCGATCCCGCCGGCAATCCCCATCCCCCAGCGCCTGAACCCGGCCCGCCGCCAAGGGCCAGGAGGAGGAGGGCGTGCGAGGGGCGCGCGCGCGCGCGCGCTGAAGGGGGGGGCCAGGGTGCGCACAGGGGATGCCCGGGTCGGGACTGGTCGGAGAAGCGGCCACGGCCATATCCCCCGGGGAGATGAACCCATCACGAGCAGATCCCCGCCCACTGTCTGTTTCTCTGTCTCCCTCTGTCTCGCCAAATACAGACATGGCTCCCGCACCACCGGCACCCGCGCAGGGGCCCTTGCCTGTGCGGGAGCACCACCTCTCCCCTTCTTTCTCTACCTCCCGCCGCCCTCTCCCTTCGTCTGTTACAGGCACGCTCACACCCAGCTATTTTCTCTCTCTCTCTCTCTCTCTCTCTCTCTCTCTCTCTCTTTCTCTCGGCCGGAGGCACACACAGGGAGTTAAGAAGAGGCCTAGGGACTCCCGACGCCGCCGGGCGGCCTCAGCAACCCACTCCTCCATTGTTCTCTAGTAAGCACATCCCTCCCCCTCCCCGACTCTTCGCTTTCGCCCCCGCAGTCCTGGCTTCCTTGAGGTTGCCACATATCGCTTTTGCAGCCATCCCCCCCCCCCCTCTTCCTCTCCCTCTTCCTCCTTCGCTCTTGCCTCTCTCCTTGGCTCTCCACTACAGCCCTCCTGTTACATCACTTGCTGGTCCCCCTTCCTCTCCCCCTTCCTCTCCTGCCTGTCCTCTCCTCCTCCCTCCCTCCCTCCCTCCCTCCCTTTGGGTTTGTCGCGCCACTGCCCGCCCACTAACACCCTCCTCCTGGCCAGCTTGAAATAATCGGAAGAGGGCCTTTCCAACCCCCCCCCCCCCACACGCGAAGTAGGTCACCATGGCAAGCAATTTCACCTACCACTACATTTTCAAGTACATCATCATCGGTGCGTCTCCCTGTCCATGTGTCGCCGCCATTCTCCACACGTGCGCACCTATATCCGACTCACCCTGCTTTACCTCTCCTCCTCCCTTTCCTCCCCCTCCTGGGGCTATTTCTTGCACTTTCCAGGTGACATGAGCGTCGGCAAGTCTTGCCTGCTCCACCAGTTCATCGAGGGGAAGTGTGCGTATTCCATGTCTCAGGCCTTCATTTCGTCTGCACCCCCCACCCCACCCCCCTGCCTCCTCCCTGCTGGCACCCACCTTCTTCCCTTTGCCACCGCCTGACATCTCCCTTCCTCCCTTCCTTTCTCTTCCGCCGTGTCCTTCCCCTCCTCCAGTCGTGGCCGAGTGCCCGCATACCATCGGTGTCGAGTTCGGCACTCGCATCATCGAGGTCTCTGGCCAGCGCATCAAGCTCCAGATTTGGGACACTGCCGGTCAGGAGCGCTTCCGGTGCGTTCTTCATGCATGCATCTTCCACATTACTTTGCGCCGGATTGGCTTTTTCGTCTCTCTCTCTCTCTCCCTCCCTCTCTCTCTCTCTCTCTCTCTCTCTCTCTCTCTCTCTCTCTCGCGCGCGCGCTCTCGATGACTGGCTGACCAAACATCCTTTTTTATACGATGACTCTCTTCTTATTCTTTCTTTCCCCCAACAGCGCCGTCACTCGCTCCTACTACCGCGGTGCCGCTGGTGTTCTGATGGTCTACGATGTCACTCGGTACGCACCTCCTCTTCCCCATTGGTTCCATTGGCCTCTCTCCTCCGGCGTTTCAGATATCTGACCTCTGTCTTCCGTGTGCTTTCCTCCCATTCCCCAAATCTCCCCCCCTCCCCCCCCCCACACACACAAACAGTCGCTCGACCTACAACCGCATGAGCAGCTGGCTCACCGACGCGCGCAACCTGACTGCCCCCAATACCGTGATCTTCATGATCGGCAACAAGTCCGACCTGGCCGGTGACGACTCCTCCGATCGCGAGGTGTCCTACGAGGAGGCCTCCCTGTTTGCGCGTGAGAACGGCCTCATTTTCTGCGAGACCTCGGCCAAGAGCGGCGAGAATGTCGAGGAGGTCTTCATCCAGACTGCCAAGAAGATCTTTGAGAACATCCAGGATGGCAGCACCGACCCCAATGCCCCCGACACCGGTATCCAGCCGAAGCATGCGTCTGCTCCCCCGAAGACCGATCCCATCGATGGCGAGGTCCCGGCCCGGGGCAAGTGCTGCTAAGGGGGAGGGGGCTGTGTGTGCGCGCGCGCGCGCGCGAGGGAAGAGGGCGCGCGAGGGAGCTCGAACGAAGATGCGGCCCGGAGAGCTGGCACCCCCTCCACGGCACACTGTGTCTGCTGCTGCTGCTCTCCTCCCGGCTCCTATCTCCCCATCCATGCTTCCCTCTCTGCCTTGTTGCCCTGAGGGGTACTGGTGAAGCGGGGGGCATGGTGCTCACTCCTACCAAGCGCTATTTTTAGCCCCTTCTCTCTCTCTCTCTCTCTCTCCCCACCCCTCCCGACCATCTCACCATGCATGTATATGTGTCTATGCGTGTGTGTGCGTGTGTGTGTGTGTGTGTGCTGTGCAAAACCAGCCAGGCGTCCTCCTCCTCCTTCCTTGTTACCATACTTGCCTTCTTCAGATTTTACCTTCTTTTATCCCTCCGGTTGTGTGTATGTGTCCCGACCAGCCCCAGTGCACCTCCTTGCCACACGCACTTCCTCGCCCCTCCCCCTCTTCCCCTTCCCCCTGCATTTCCCTCTGCGTGTCATACCCTGTACAGCTCTATAGGGAGATGTTGCCTTCCCGAAAATGATAAACTTAAACCTCCAATGCGTGCGATGCTGCCTGTATTTGCCCTCTCCCCCCCCCTCTCTCTCTCTCTCTCTCTCTCTCTCTCTCTCTGTCTCCCTTCCATTAGTCAAAAGGAGGAGACACGGAGCGAGCGGGCGAATCCACAAGGGGAGGGGGGGAAGCAGCCCTGCGATCTTTGTTGGTATTGCTTGCTTTTTTTTTCCAAATGATGCGGCACGAGAATGAGGTGCCCAAACAGGAGCCAAAGGCCCCCTGCTGCGTCGGCCGGCCCTCGGACGACAGTCGAGATGCCCACACCACGAACGTGATCCTCGTTCAGCGGATCATGCCCGCGGGAAAATCACCTGGACGTGTCCCAGAGGGGAAGGTCTCTGCCATTTTCTGTTCCCGCCCTCCTGGGCAGCGAGAGGGTGGAGACAGGCTCGAGGATATTGCGCGTGTGATGGGGACGGCCAACTGCGTGCACGCCTGCTCGGAGTTGCCTTGGAACCGGTGTCCGGTCTCTGATGCTCGTCATTGTGGCAAGCAGAGGGGGGAGGGCGGGATGTTTCTGGTGTCCTGGTGGGCGAATTTGATTGGCGGATCTCAAATTATCCTTCGGTTGACCCTCGCACGGCCTGGCAGGGGAGATGCGCCCCCCGCGGCGATCAAATTCACCCCCCCCCCCCTCCCGGCTTCGGCCTTCTCCGGCTCCGCCTTTGCCAGTCCAAGTTGGCTGGCCCATTTGGGGCAGCTTGGTGGAGGAATCCTTCCTCAAGCTCCTCACACTGTCACCACTTACACATTCGATCTATCTCCTTCCGCATCTATATCTATCTCTCTCCCCCCCCCCCCCTCTCCCCCCCTCTCTCCCGTCTATCCCCCCCCCCTCCCATCAGATCGCCACACCCACCGGCTGTGCTTGAGCACGACCCCAATCCACCCTCTGTTGTCCCGGCCTTCCCCTGCTTTCGCTGTCCTTCCCCCGCTCGGCCCGTACCACGCCCTTCATACACATGGGATCTTCGTCCTCTACACAGCGGTCCTCCGTGCCCCGCATCATCGGTTCGTCTCCATGCCCCTCTCCTCGTTGTCTCCTCTCGCCGCACTTCTCTCCATCTCCCGCCGGCCACATTGTATTGACCTCCCTCATCTCCTCAGGCGACAACTTCTCGTCCATCGAGGAGGTTCAGCAGGCCCTGCGCCGGGCCAACCTCGAGTCCTCCAACCTCATCTTCGCCGTGGACTACACCTCATCCAACCAGCACACTGGAAAGAATTCCTTCGGCGGGCGGTGCCTCCACTGGCTGGACCCCCACCGGGAGCAGTTGAACCCCTACCAGCAAGCCATCGGCATCATCGGCGCCACTCTGGGTGCGCCCCTTTTCCCCCCTCCCTCCTGTCTCCGATCCTTTCCAACTGCATCCACTAACTTCTCTCTTCCCCCCCCCCCCACCCCCCGTACATCTCCCCCTTTGCTGTGTCTGCCTCCCCATGTCCACCGGTTTGTCAGAGTCCTTCGACGAGGACAAGCTCATCCCCTCGTTTGGGTTCGGTGATGTCAACACTCACGATCGCGCGTGCGTTATCTCCTTCCTGTGTTCCCCCCCCCCTTCCTAGGTGTACCTTCTCACCGGACCCCACTGACTTTGCTCGCAATCGGTCCTGCTTCCCAGCGTGTTTCCCCTCCACACCGATCCTCGCGGATGCTACACCTTCAAGGAGGTGCTCGAGCGCTATGAGCAAGTCACCCCGCACGTGCAGATGTCCGGGCCGACATGCTTTGCGCCGGCTATCATGACCGCGGTGAACATTGTTCGTCAGAGTCAGAACCAGGTATGCCACACCCCCCTCCCCCCTTTTCCGGCCACTTCCCCTCCCCCCCCCCCCTGCCTCCCCCTCTCCCCCGCAAAATGGCCATCATCCATGCCGCTTGCCGCATCCACCCTAACTTGCCCCCCCCCCCCCTTCTTCCCTGCCCTCACTCTTTGCCGCCGGCCTCAGTATCACATCTTGGTGATCGTTGCCGACGGCCAGGTTTCCAACCCGCGCAAGACGCGTGATGCCCTGATCGAGGCGTCCAAGTATCCCTTGAGCATCATTGTTGTCGGGGTTGGCGATGGGCCCTGGGATCAGATGGAGTACTTTGTGCGTCGCCTTGCATTCGCGCCGCTTTGTTTCACGCTGGGGCGGAGGGGAGTTGGTCGGGTGTCGGCGCCGTCAGCATGACTGTTCCCCAAATCGGGCTCCGCCCCGGGGGGGGGGGGGGGGGGGGGGCGGGGGCCGCGGGCCCATGACAAACCATGCGTAGCTGACCTTTCCTCACTTTCCTCCTTCCCTCCTCCTCCCCCCAGGATGACATGCCTGGGCGCATTTTCGACAACTTCCAGTTCGTCAACTTCCACAAGGTCCTGTCCCAGAACCCCTACCATCCGGAGCCGGCCTTTGCCCTGGCGGCATTGATGGAGATCCCCGAGCAATTCCATGCCATTCGCAAGCTGGAGTACCTGTGATCCATATATGTCTCGGGCCGCAGCTTCCTTTCTCTTTCTCTCTCTCTCTCTCTCTC